CTGAAGTGGCTTTAGCTTCTTAGTGCTGTGCTTTAACCCGCTGTGCCGCTAGGGAAGGCCCATAGCTAGTTTTTTTTAAATGAATGATGTATCATCATTTTACATCCTTGTTTGTCTTCTCCGAGCACGGAATTTCTCCCCTCAGGCATGGTCATCATAGTTGTCCACCACCACAATGTCCATTGTCCACCATAGTTACTGTATCGTCCTCTCTAAAACTAGGGTAACTAATTTTGTCTAAAGAGCAAAGAGTGGGGTGTTGTCATTCATATTGACTTGTGTTAAGTCTTAGGTGACAGAGATGTTCGCGACATTGTCACCATTAAGTTAGCACTGTTAATACCAGCACCATTAGTACTTGCGGTGTCGGGGCCAACACACCTCCCTAACCCAGTTCTTGAGCAAGCTCAGGTGCCGTGTCAGAGGAAAGTAGTTTGAAAGTTCATCTGCTTGACGAGCCAAACTTCATTTACGTAAAGGGCTTTCTTAGAGGGCTTCTAACACAGACGGGTCTCTGCTCAGTTCTCCAGTTAACGTGCAAAAGCGGGCAGAGCTCATCCTTGGCGACCTCAGGGCAGTCCTGCTCGCACTCTGCCCGGCAAGGGAGCTACAGAGCCCTGCGTGGGGGAGCCGATGCCCGTGTACTGCTCTGTTGCCTTTTGGCCTGACACGCTGGGTTTCCTCATCTGATGTGTTTTTGAATTCGCTTCCACAGGCCTGATGCGCTCACGGGTCCGGGGGGCCGACGCGGCCCAGGCCAAGGTCCTGACGTTCCTGGACAGCCACTGTGAGTGCAACGAGCATTGGCTGGAGCCCCTCTTGGAGAGGGTGGCCGAGGTGAGGGTCTCAGTGGGCAGCGCCCAGACTGGGGCTGTGCTTTCCCTTGATGCCGGAAAGGGAATAACCACCACCGGGACATTGCATTAGTCCCTCTAGCGAACTGTCTTCAGGGGAAATAACCTCTGGACAGGCAGGAAGTGCGTGTGGGTTGGGGAAAGCCTGAACAGCCTCAGACAATCCTTGGCTTGGGAAAATCTTCCTTGCCTGCAGCTTTGCAACCGAGTCTGTAAACGCAAAGGGGCATGCTGCATAGAACAGGGCTTGGCTTCTTCCATGGGAGTGTTTGCTGCTGGCTGAGGGCAGGCGTCTCAGCTGGGAAAGCTCAGGGAAGACATAGGTCAGCAGCCTTGCCCTGTGCAGCTCACTACAGTGGCAGCACGAAGACGGGCCTCAGCTTGCAGGCTGAGACTGCGAGGGGCTGAGTGAGGCCCCCGGTGATGCGGGGAACATGGTGCACCGTGGTCTTCTAGAAGCATCCTCACGAGTGCTGGCTTTGACCTTAGGTCACTTCTTGCTTTCAGCTTATTTTATTGTCTCCTTTTCTTCCCTAAGAAAGTGACAAAGCAAATGTAATGAAAATGCCAGAGAAATCCAAAATGAGCACCTCGTTCTTTTGACAGCAGAGCAAGGTTAACTGGTGGGCAGTAAGTCATCAAATAATGAAAAAAATAACCTCAAGGTACTAGTGATGATGGTAATTACATTCACTGCTGTTTCTTCAGTCCTAATGGCATGCTGGACATGCCATCCATGACTGCTACCTGGGTATTGCAACCCCATTTAACAGAGGAGGAAACTGGGTGGGCTCGGGGAGCTTGAATCACTGCGTGCAGGTGGCAAAGCTCATTTGACCAAATGCCTGTAGCTGGGTCCTCGTACTGATGCACACACCTGCCTAAAACAGCTGCCCACCTTGGGCTCCTCCCCCGACTCCTCTACCAGCCTCCTCCCGGGAGAGCAGAGACAGCCAGAACATGAGAGTGTGATAACATCTCAGGATTATTTCACAGGCCCTCCTACAGGGAGGACAGAAAGAGTTGAGAATACTAGTGTCCACTGACTCCAGGGACATCAAAAGAGAGCATGCGGAAGTGGACCTAGAAGTAGAGCAGGCTGGACCCTGCTACAGGAGGATTTTATTCTTTGCTGCCCCACGAGGTTGGCAAAGGTTTTTTGCCCTGTCAGCATGTCCCCCGAGTGGTGTTAGAACTTGATCTTATTCTCTCAATGCCTTCCTCTGATGTAGAATGTTTTAAGGACCTCTGCTGATCTCTTACTAATTTGCTCAGGGTCTTTCTTCTGGCTAAGATGGGTTCTCTAAACAACTGGAGGAAAACACTTACTCTTTTGTTAACTGTCAGGATGGGCCAGTATCTCTCGCTAGCATCAACCATTCGGGTTTAGAAAGGGCAGGCCAGTGAAAGAGGCTTCTTGTAACCATCGTTTCCCAAGGACAATGACAGAGGCCCAGGAGGCCGCATCTAGAGCCTGGCCATTCTTTTTTATTTTTTTTTTTATTTTGTGGAAATGCAAGGAAGGAGTCTGGCCTTCCCTCTGCTGTAATAATGCTGCACTCACCATGTCACGCACACCTCCTGTGCCCAGAGGAACAGAGCTCTCGTTTTATCATGTGGGCTGCGCCGTGAGCTCATTCCTGCACTGACTGCATGCAGCAACCAATGGGTCAGCTTCGGCTCAGCTTCGATTCTGTCCGATTAAAAGCGCCCCTGTGCTTGAAGTTTGGACATTTGGGAAAACCAGAAGGGAGACCCTGGGGCACACCGGTGCAGCCCTGGCCATCAGGAGGTGGACACGGGCCCCGCCCGTCCTGTGGACATGGGTGTCGCTTCTCTGCACAGCCCTGTCTGCCAGTCTCAGAAGTGACACCAGTGTGACGGCCGTGGGCGGGGCCCTCTCCTGGGCACGGGTCTCCTCGGGCAAGGGCACAGTTGGCGCTCGCTGTTACCACTAACACTCGAGCCGTCTTCTCGTGGGCTTGGGTCCTTTTTTTTTTTTTTTTTTTAAAAGATTTATTTATGCATACAGAACTGGGGTACAGGCCAGAGGCTCAGGGGCGGTGAGAGGCTTTACCAGAGACAGAGTGGGGAACAGAACAGGCAGATGGACGAAGTACACCGCTGAGGGGAGCAGCGGGCGGGTCAGGAGAGGTCTGCCACGCCATGTGGTCACCTCTGGGGCAGGCGGGGATCGAACTCATGTGGAAGTGGCTTTAGCTTCTCAGTGCTGTGCTTTAACCCGCTGCGCCACCAGGGAGGGCCCAGCTTGGGTCCTTTTAATGCCCGTTCTCGTCTTGATTTCAGGACAGGACTCGGGTGGTGTCGCCCATCATCGATGTCATTAACATGGACAACTTCCAGTACGTGGGGGCATCTGCTGACTTAAAAGGCGGTAGGTGCCACGGGGTCCACCCTGCGTGCTGTCCTGTCCACGCCGCGGTCTGAGCACCGCTCCTCCCGGCGCGGGGAACGACAGGGCGCGCTTCTACCTCCCGCCCAAGCTCCTAGGGGAGAGCACAGCCCTGTGCTCCACAGCAGAGTCTCATCGAGAGAGTGGAAATAGCGGCTTCCCGTGGAGAGCACCCTGCGTTCCCTGCTCGTCCTTATCTCCTTGACCTTCTGTTGCTGTTGTCACACATGTGACTTTGTACACAGCTTCTAGGTCATTTTTAAGCACAGAGGATTAGGCTTTTCCTGCTGAGCGTCTGGGACACAGAGATGCCAGGGCTGACAGGCTCCATCACACCGCGAGGGTTTGTGGAGCTGAGGGAGCCAGCCCCACTCTGCCTCCTGCTGTCCTCTGACATCTTGCGTCTACCTGTCACTCTGGTGCCGTTTAACTCTTTCTGGTCAAGTCGCCGTTCCCCCCTGCTCCCCCAGACCCCGTAAGGAGAGGCGTAAGGAGGGGCGTGCGAGCCACCTGTGCAGTAAAGGGGCCCTGCCAGGCCTCGGGGAGAGCTCAGTCCAGCCGGAGAACTACACTGGCCTTGGGACACACAGACTTCAGGAAAGATTTATAAGAAATGGTGAGAGGGCCTTGGGGCCCCAGCCAGGACCGCTCCTGGGCTGCCCCCAAAGCCTCTGTATTCAAAGTGTCGTCTTCCCCTGAGGATCTGTAAGCGCTGGGATGCCAGGGGCTGATTTTCTTCCACAGCTGCCGCTTCTGTCAGAGCAAGTGAGGGCACAGCGGGGTGCTCTGGAATGGGAGGTGCAGGTCTCCTTGTGGTCGGAAGAAGGGGGACCAAGTTGAATTCATGAGCGTTTTATGAAATCCATTCAGAACAAAAACAGAGCAAGGGTGATGTTTTTAGCCGATTCTTAAATGCTCAGACCACTTCTCTCTTTGGACCAAATTACCCAAATAATAGTGAACATTTACAGAATGAAGACAGAACCTGTCAGCTGGGAGCTGAGGCCTCTGCATTCTTTGTTAGTCACAGCCCGGAGGCCTGCTGCTTCTCTGGTTGTTGTGTGTGTTGTGCAAACACACAGCTCGCTCTGCGGCAGGGGGAGCCCCACTTCTCACAGGTGCCAGCGCGGGGCCTCCTGTCTGTGAGTGCACGTGCTGCCGCCCGACCCCGCCACTCACTGCCTCTCTGCCTCTCTGCCGGAGCCTGTGGGGACAGTCGGGGGTCCTTTTGGTCTCCTGCCTCTAGATGAGCCATAAATATGCTGGGCCATCCCGGGAGCTCTGAGCCCCCACCTCCTGCACTCTCCTCTTCAGGCTGCTGACACTCGGCCGTCGGGGCACATGAACCCCCAAATCCTACTGTGCTACTTCTTCTGCTCATTTTCATCTAGAGGTTTCCTTCACCCACATTGCCCCGTTCCATCCTTGGCATCTGGGGTCTGGCTCCTTTGCGGTCAGCATACGAACGTGCTCAAGCTCACAGGGAATCTGTAACCTGCCGGCACCCCCTTTCCTCAGGCTGGCTGCTGGGTTACTGTCACCCAGTCCTGCTTCTTGTCGCCCTAGCGATATGGCGATAGCGTCGCACAGACCTCCGACCTCTTCTCATCGCACACTTCTGCTTAACGCATCTTAATTTTAGAAGCAACTGACCCACATTCCCCAACTGGGGGGAAACTCTCTAGGGAGAGGCGATTCAGGGTACCCACCCCCCAATCCTGCCTCCTTCAGCGTCTCTTTGTTCTTTGGAATTTTGGGTTGTTTGGTTTTTTGTTTGCCCCCCCCCCAACCCCCTTTGTGTGGTTTCCAGGGAGACCTGTCTAATAGCATACATTTTTAAGTGTGGTGCGGGAGCCCATACGTGCGGTTCAGGTCAGCTCTCTCTCTGTTCCTTCTCTGGTGTCGGCAGGGTTCGACTGGAACTTGGTGTTCAAGTGGGATTACATGACACCTGAGCAGAGAAGGTCCCGGCAGGGGAACCCCGTTGCCCCCATAAAGTAAGTACCAAGCATGCTTTGGGGTGCCGTTCACAGGTAAGGCCCCAGACCCGCCCCACGCTCCCCAGAGACCTGTTGAGCACCTCCCCTCTGCCTCGTCCCAGCTCCAGGATCAGCCTGCCACCAGATCACAGGCTAAACCGCCCTTAGATTTCGCTTCCTCCCATGAAGTGTGACCTCTCCAGCAGTGTGAAGCCAGCCTGCTGTTTCTGTCCCCTCACGTGTGTGATGGGGCATTTTCGGCAGCATCCTGGGTCTCCTGGTGGACCAGGGAGGCGGGTTTAGGCAGGGCAAATGTTGTCCCCTTCTGTGCCTGTCCTGAAGGCACCCCCTTCCTCAGCAGGCCTCTGCTCACCTGTGCCCACAGGGGAGGCAGCTGTCCTCACTGGCAGCTGGAGGGAGGAGACCGTCTGCAGCCAGGAAGGGTTACTGTGCTTTAGATAGTGAAGGGAGAGGCTGCCACGGGCTCCCTGCGCCCAGCGTCTGGTGCAGCATGTAGCGTGGCGTGGACTTTCCCACTTGACATTGAGGCCTCGAGCTCTCTTCTGAGAACAGAAGGGCTCAGTCCCCGTGCTTCTGTTAACCCCTTCTGGGCTGATGAAGGGAGGACAATGGAGGGGCCTGCTCCAGGAGAGGGTGGTGATACAGGGGACACATGTACCTAGTGTCGGTGAGCAGCGCAGTCCAGCTAGCGCTCACTCTCTCCAGGGGAGACTCGGCTCAGCCCCGGGCACTCTGGAAGCATCTGGGCAAGTGGGGAGGCCTTTGAACGCAGCACTGGGAGAGCAGAGAGGGGCCCCGAGCTCTGACCCAAGCACAGTGGCTGAGCTGTTAGTTTTAGGGTCAGCTTGTAGGGCTGACCTTGGCACAAGAATGCTGGTGATGTCACCTTAACCTTCAGCCTCCCCCTCCCCCTACCTCCCCTTTCTGCCTCCTTAGAACCCCCATGATCGCTGGAGGGTTGTTCGTGATGGATAAGTTCTATTTTGAAGAACTGGGGAAATACGACATGATGATGGATGTCTGGGGAGGCGAAAACCTGGGTATGTACGAGTCTGTCTTCACACTCCTTCCCCGTTCTCATGAAGCCACGGCCTGATCTGCCCAGCAGGAGGGTTACAAGTGAAAGGCGGGAAGCTTTGGAGAGACACTGTCAGGCAAGAGCTTGTGGCTTGTAGAGTGTCATTTGGAAGAAGCTTTAAAGACATTGGAGCTCAGACAAAATTAGTTCCCCCCCCCCCATTGTAAATAATCCTTCAAAGTGTCGGGCTGGGCATGCAAATGTGCCGCCCTAAGAGTACAAGATGCCGGGGACAGATCACATTCGTGGAGGAGAGAAACTACGAACACTTTGATGTCCTTTGAATCCAGCTTTGAAACACACACTTACAAAAATGGGGCGCTGCTTCAGACTCTGGGGTTCACCAGTAGCCACATGGAATGGAAGTGCACTCTGGAGGGCTCTCGGGCGGAGCATGGAGCTAGCGGTGGTCGTCATGGAGACCAGCCGGGGAGGGGCCGGGCAGTCAGTCCCTTCTTGACTGCTCTGTGAGTGACCCCAGTGTGGTTAGAGGTACTTTTTTCTAAATAACCTGTTTAACATCATTTTTACCCAGGTTTAGGGGCGAAATGCTGTAGGCTTTGATCTTTGTTGATAGCTGCATCATATTTACTGTCCAAAGATAGAAACTTATGTTTGTTCAGAGCTCATTTTGTTTCATTTGAAGCCTCTGAACTTCAGGTACTTAGGTTCTGAGCTGATTCTTCTCAGCTCTTGAAGGCTGTTAAACAGCTTTCACCCTGTGTAGATGTACTCTGGAAGGACAGGAAAAGAGGGGGGGAGTGGGATGGGGGATGAGGCCCCTACCATTTTCTGAAGGTTTTCCTTGTAACAGAGACTTTGATGGGTTTTGTTAGTTTAAAAGAAAAGCCTAAATGAGCTTATCATTATTCTCTCATTTTATGATGTTAATGTTCGTGGGAGCATCTCAGCGGAGCACTTCTCTGCCTTGGCTTGATGTTGAAAGTTTCTTTAGACTCAGTAATTACGCTGGCATGAAAGACCAGGAGTCAAGCTCCTTTTGGGTTTTTTTTTTTTTAAGGCTACATTGACAGGCAGGCAGGACTTGAAGTCTTGGAGGGCAAAAGTTTCAGAAGACTCGTTAACCATCTGGGGAAGATTCTGAGTCACCCTCACTGCAGACATACGTCCCTGATGTCAGTGGAGATGGGCCAGCACGGACCCCCACAGGACAGCTTATCACCTGGGCGACCGTTTCCCAGAGGCACAGCGGGGTTTGCAGAGCTGTGTATGATTAGCTGGCATCACCCATGAGGTGCTGACACGCAGCCAGACTTTTGTGTTCTGGTGAAGAGAGTGTTGTTTAAATACCAAAGGAGACACTTCACCCAGAGGCCAGAGGAAGGGGAGAGAATTACTTTTTTTAATCACTTGGCTTATAATTGGCTTTTATGGGGCACGCCCTGCCTGGAGGTGGCCTGGCATCTGCTGGCCCCCCACTGGCTCTAGCGACATCTTCAGAGCCGGAGCAGGCACAAGGGCTTTGGCAGAATCAGTCCTGGTGTGAGCTGCTCTCTCCGGGTGCGTGCACCACCAGCCACTGACCAGCCTGAGTGACTACGTGTGTGAGTGTCAGGAAAGAGGGGTTTGGGGGTGACAGAGGAAATCCAAGCCACCTCCTCCAAGTGTGTGTTGCCAGAGTCTCTAGAGCTCAAGTTTTCCTAGCTAATGATCTAAGTCTAATACAAGCAATTAAAAAGAAGGGCAGAGAGCCTATTACTAGCTACTGTAAGGGTTCGGCTCCTGGGGAACATTTTTTGTCCTTTTTGACTAAATGCTAAATGCTGCCAGCATATCATCTCATTTCAGGCTTTTTTGAAGGGCCCAGGCTTCCCCACGTTCTCAGAGCTAGTCGTTAGCAGAGTCAAGATGCAAGCACAAGCTGCCTAATTAAAAAGCCACCAAGTTATATTTGAGCAATCATCCCTCAGTTATGGGGCTCCAGTGAAATCAGAATCGAAATGTAACTGTATGTGTACTTGGCCTTAAAACCTCCCACCAAATCTGCACAGATCCTCACTGCTTCACTAGACTCTACACACAAGCTGGAAGGCCTGCTGAGCCCCCAGTTTTGAATTTTCCAATTAGGCAAATGTATCTTTAGGCTTTACTTCCATAAATTAGTGGGAACTTTTTGTTTTCTTGGACACTGTAAAGTGGACAGTGCAACCCTTCATTGCATCCATTTGGATGGCTACGACCCCGTTTAATACTACGTGAGAATTGAAGCCCCACGCCAGCAAGCATGCATCCCTCACTCCTAGAGAGTGAGCTGTTTCCTGTACCTAAAACTCCCACATTTCTGCCCCTGAACTGGGCACTCACCCCTCATGCTGTGCAGTTGGGGTCTCTGCAGGATGTACCCCACAGCTCGCTTCACGGTCTGCAGTGACCTGCCCCATTTCCGAGCCATCCCCAGATGGCAGCAGTGATGGCTGGTTCTATAGCTTCTGACTTGCAAAATGATGTAGAGGAGACGCCCTTTCATACACCCTCATGGAGTCTTCCAGAAAAAAATGTTTGACCTTTTAGAATATTACATCTTGATTTTTCTGTTTAACCTCAAGTTCTCGCATCCAGTTGAACCTCTGACTCAGGCCTTGGTTACTCAGAATGGATGGGGGGGCAGGAGCCTGCGTGCCCCAGAGTCAGCTGTGTGGGGCCGCCTCTTCCAGGTGTAGTGCTCAGGTGTGCACGCACGCATGTGCATCAGAAACCGTGCACTTGGCATTTCCTCGCTCCTGTGGGCAGAGTCTGTCTGAAGCAGGTGAAGAGTGACCTTCATGAGGCCCACTGGCTACTGACTGGCAAGAGGCCATGGCACTTTGAGGTATCTGTCTATTACTCGAGCGTCCTTGGTCACCACCATAATCCGTAAATCACCTGTGAATTTGCCAGTGGCTTGAGGCTTGCTAATGCACAAGGACAAACCTAATTTTTGCAGTTTGAGGTGAGAGATTCTTTTCCTGGATGGATGAAACCCAGGGGCATACTAGCACTCAGTGTATTTGAGTCACTTCAGAGGAAGACGGCCTATGCAGCCACCTATTAATCCACTGTCGAAGCTTAACTGTGGGCATTTCACGCCTCCTGATTCATGGATGTTTACACCCCTTCAGCATTGCTTTTTCTAGCTGTGTGCACAGAAGCGTGTGATTCCCCATGATCGTGGAGCTAGTGAAGAATTCAATCCGAGCATCATGCACCTGTGCTGGTGACTTTCCAGGAGATGTGTGATCTCATCCCAGTGGTCCTTTATATGCAAGGGACCACGGAATCACACTTGCTTCTAGTCTGAAGTAGTCACTGCAGTCAAGCTTATTGGCACATCGCTGGCACATTCTGGATTGTGCCACGGAGCTAGAGACTGAGGCATGTTGTTGTCTCAACTGGGTAGTGCAGGGCATGTACGGGAAGAGGCAATTTCTTGTTCACATGTCCCTGAGCAGTGCAGGGTGTGGTGGGGGGGTGGGGGGGGGCATCTGCCCCCAGTGGGGGTGGCAGCTGTTCAGAGCAGCCCCAGACCCTGCTGGTCACCCGGTCTCATCCCCTCCAGAGATCTCGTTCCGCGTGTGGCAATGCGGTGGCAGCCTGGAGATCATCCCCTGCAGCCGCGTGGGACATGTGTTCCGGAAACAGCACCCCTACACCTTCCCCGGGGGCAGCGGCACTGTCTTTGCCCGGTAAGCATTGAGAGGCTGGGTGGGGCACCGCAGGTGTTCCTGACACCATCCAGACCAGAGTGGCTCTTGGGCAGCTCGGGATGGGTATCACTTAGCAGTTACAGGGGGACATGACCAGTCGGTGCCTCACATGGGCGAAAGACATTCAGGCCCAGGTGCTCTACTGCACAATTCTTTCATGGAACAGTCCCAGAAAGACAAAACAGTGTGGTGGAGAATTGGCCAGTGGATGCAAGGGGTTCAGGAGGGGCAAGACAGCCTCCAAAGGAGCAAGTCGGGGGTGCTTGGGAGTGGAGGATGGACGTGTCCTGCACCTGACGTGTGGTGGGCACACAGGCCCCCTGCCTGTCCAGCCCCCAAACGGGAGAGAGTGTTATTTTAAAGAAGAGAACAGATGCTTCTTTATTACCGATTACCTTTCAAGTACAATCTACAAAAAATATTAAAGTCAAGTTGAAAAGACATCATGAGACAGAGTTATGACTCATGGCAGATAATAGGTGTATTTTAGCGAACAAGACAATGTCAAATGAAGAGCTTTCTGAAGAAGAATAGCAAGGTAACAGTCCGCACCACATCTTCCCCCAGGGAATTCTTTTAGAGGCTAAAGATAAAATGGCGCACAGGTGAGCCAGCCTGGCATAGGGTGGGGTAGCGAGCTCCACCCTGCACAGCCCACTCCCCCCCCCGCCTCCCCCACACACACACACAGCCAAGAGAGACTGCTGCAGACGCTGTGAGCAGGTAAGGGTGGGCCTGTCATCAGGTGTGATGCGGAACAGCGAGGGTGCCGGACATGCAGGTGGAAGGATCCTTTGAGCTGGGGACACTGGTGTGAGATGGGGGTGCTGGCTTGACACCTACACGGTGGGGAGTGACTCTGGGAGCCCCCCGCCTTGGGCTTGTGCAATGTGTAGCGCCCCGTCAGCAAGGACCAGAGTTGGAGCCGAGACCTCACCGGCCTGCATTGTGGCACCCTGCAGGTTGTGGGAAACTGGGTGTTTTGACATTGGGGTTTAAGCAGATATCCCTCTGACTGACGTTTTAGAAAGATCTGTCTGCTGGCTGGGCTGGTGGTGCAGGGAAACTGGGATGAACAGACCCACGGCCAGTGAGCAGCCGCAAGGGACTCCTAGGCCCTGTCGTCACACCCCAGGAATAGATGGGGTGCTCCCTGGAGCAGAGCTACAGCCTGGGGCCAGGCCCCCGCTCGGTTCTGAGGCAGCCACAGGAGACGAAAGCGGGGAGTCGGGGGCACACCCAGACTGTGGGCACACCACCCCCCTGGCGGGGTGCCGCTGCTGAGACAGACTAAGCGCTCCTGGTTTAGAGTAGGGCAGAGTGGACTGAGGAGGGGAGGATGACTAACGTACCTCTCGGGTGGTGTTTTCACCTTTTACTAAGTATAGATTTCCCAATACACAGACATTGAATTTTCAGCTCAGAGAATCTTAAGTTCTGGGAAATTTTAATAGATATCAAATAGCAAATGATTATTGCTTCAAGAGCAAAATACCTTCTCTGCGAAAGGATATCCTTTTCCGAACATCATTTAAATTTCTTTTTTGCTCAGTATTAGAAACAAAAATATTGTCTTATACAATAAGCTCTATAAATATCAAATGTTTTTCCCCTAAGGCAATGTGTGATTCTTTCTAGAAATCTCTTATAAACACATCATATATCCCAAACCACGGCTGTGTTGGTATCTATCAGCAAACAGTGGGATTTTAGAAAATAGCATGCTATGATATACGGCATTGCTTTATATAGGTTTTTTTTTTTTTAAGAAGGGAGACATTTCCATTGTCTGTTTCATTTTGTGCCGCAGGGGTGTTTGGAGAGAATATAGTCCTGGGTGTCAGTGTTTTGGGGCAGCATTATCTGTCAGGTCTTCAGCAAGCCCCTCGCCTCCCCCCCCCCCCCCCGACTCTGTCGATCATTCAGAGATTTCCCAGGCCCCAATCCACATATTTCCTCTGGCATTAAATGAATAAGCATTTCACCATCTAAAATTTGAGACTTAACAAATAGCCAATATTTATTATAGTGTTTTATGCGTTCCGGGCTGTTCTAAGTACTTCACAAATATTAACTTACATTCTCATAAAACTTTGTGAATTAAATACTATTAATCTCCTCTGAGAGATAAGAGCAACAAAGCACAAAAAGCCTGCTTCCCTCTGTGGCAGCCAGAGAACTGGAGCGGGAGGAGGCGGGTCGCCTTGTGCAGGCTGGCTCCCGTGCCTGGGACCTTCCGGAGTCAGGCCTTTCTTCTGTTGTCTGAGATTTCTGGTTTTCAGGAACTAGATAGAGCTTCTAGAGTAGGAGATAAAATCGCACGAGGAGGAGGCTGTCTTGTATGTGCTTTAGGCAGTTGGGAAATGACGAGCAAGGGGAGCCTGCAACGGGGTCCTGTGTTGTTTGTCACTCCCATGCCAGCCACAGGGGTACCTGTCGCTGTAGAAAGAGTTAGGTGGTGACACACCTGCATGTTCTTGCATCATCTCTCTGGTCCCGGCCGCCACCTCCCTAAGGCCAGTTGAGAGCAGATAGGCTGTTCCTTCCTGCCTTTTCTCCTGTAGTCACCTCTCCAAGCAGCTTCCCATAAGCCCCATCAGAGACTGAAGAACACCGTGGGCGTGTGAGTACGCTGGTCAAAGTGACCCAGAGGCCACGAGTCGTGGGTGGCATCGGGTGGTCTCTCAGAAGGCGATTTGCTTTAGGCTTAGCAGATAATGGTGAAACTTGAGTTATTCATGGTGAGGAGTTTATCTGTAAATTAAAGGCAGGAAACCAGTGGCTGACACTTACCCTCTTATCAAACTTTTTCCTCTTGTTACCACCAATGAATATAATGGACTGGCTGGAATTACACCTTCTTTCCTGCCTGCTTGGGGGGGGGGGCACGGGACGGGGGGTGGGCTGCTTATCTGTACCCGGCCCCTTGGGTTGAAGGGAGCCAAATTGAATCAAAGAAACTGAAGGAGTGAAGATGCCCCCTCTGGGAGGCATGAGGCCCCATGTGTCTGGACGAGTGAGTCGTCACTGGCCCTGAGTAGTACGTGATGCTAACTTTGGGGAGATTCCTACATATCTTTTTCTACTAAGTAGACAGAAAAAAGGTTGCCTTTCATTTAGGAATTAAGAAAAGTCATCACTTAAAGACTTATGTGATTTAAAACCACGGTGTGATTGGAAATCATAAAGCCTTTATACCATCAAAGCTAAGAGGAACCTAGGAGGTACTCGAATCAAATCCTTTCATTTTCCTGACGGGGAATCCAAGTCCCATAGATCTGAACTCACACAGCCAACCCAGGTGAAGGCACAGGCTACTTACAGGCCCCCGCAGGGCCCTCCCTGGCGGCGCAACAGGTTAGGACACAGCACTGCAAGCTAGCGCGGCTGCTTCAGTGCGAGTTCAAGTCCCGGCCCCGGAGGTGAGGTGACCCACAGGGCTCAGCAGACCTCTCCTGACCTGCCTGCTGCTCCTCTCAGCAGTGTACTTTGTCTCTCTGCCTGTCCTGCTCCCTGCTTTGTCTCTGGTGAATCCTCTCACCCCCTGCACCTCTGGCCTGTACCCCAGTTCTGTATGAGTACATAAAGAAATCTTTAAAAAAAAAAAAAATCCCAGCATCCCAGTAAGAATATTTCCCATCTCTCCTGAGAACTAAAACTCCTGATCCAGTATCCCCACACGTTATAGCTTTAGGTGCACATTCTTGAGTCTGTGTGGGGTTTTTGTTGTTGTTTTTGTGGAAACTAAAGACCCATCTCAGTAAAGATAGCACGCTTGGAATTTGGTCTGTCTCTCCGTCCCCCCCCCCCCCCCCGCCCCATTCTCCCTCCTCCCCCCCACCTCCACTGGGTGCTGTCTCCAGGGTTTTACTCGGTCTCGGCCGCCTTCCCGGCTGCAGGGAAGGTGCCCTCCAGCCCATGCCATGCAGTCACCCTTGTGTGGGTTCCCTGGCCCGCTGCTGGAACTTTCTGAGTTGTTTGCTATGACAGGCAACACCGAAGTGGACCCATCTCCAAGTAGACACTTTCACTCCTAATTGCTTGTTTCCTTGAGGTACATTTCTAGAAACTGAAACTGCTGGATCTGAGGGTGGGTGGGTACCGCCCTGCGGCTGCTCTTGGTCAGCTTTCCCAGAAGCGGCCTGTCTTCCACTTTGTGAAAAGGAAAAAGGATCGACATCACTTTGCAAGAAAGATAATGCCCCAAGCTGAAGTTATTTTCATAACTGTAACTCATTTGAAGGGCTTCCCATTTCAAAGCACCCTTTCAGGTAGAGAAAATGGATTCGTTCAGAGATACACAGGGCCTCCCCCTGGGGTCCTTGCCTTCTGTCTGGGATCCAGGGGGGCTGGCTCCAAGCCTACAGTGTGAACCTACCTGGGCCTGAGGGCAGGAGTGGGGAGCGCTTCCCCAGGCCTGAAAGGGATTTTGGTGGGATGAGATGAGGTGCCCGTGGGCATGGCAGCCTTTAATCCAGGCAACCCGCGCAGAAGTCCCACGTTCCAGGGGCCTGTTTACCATGAATTGTGGTCCTCAGCGTTATGGTGAGCTGTCAGCACGTGGTTTTCTCACCTGCTAGAAAAGCCTGCTCTGCCTGTGCTCCTCCGGCACCATGCAATGGAGCCCCAGGTGGGGGTCATAACGCTTCCCGGCATGATTCCTTGTCCAAGGACACTGTCTCAGCTCAAGTGTGCAGAAAAGAAAGCAGTAGCTCTCATCAGTGCTTCCCCTTTTCCCAGAGCTAAGTAGTGTTACGGCCGTTACGAGGAAGGCCATAGAAACAAGAATTTCTTGGCGGTGTTCCCTGGTAACAGCCTTCAGTAGAAATAACACGAGTGATTGCAGAGGAATTCTCTTTTGTTCTTTATGGCACAACTCCAGTTCTTCTTTAAAACACCTGTCTGTGCTGTGATGCTAACACGAACACAGTGTGTTCATTATGAACAGGAGTGTCCACTGTGTGTTCCGTAAGCACTGGCCAAACACCAGCTGCCCAGGAACTCAGGCAGAGCGGCCACGTGGGACACATGCTCCCTGCCCCTCGCTCGGTGTCGCTGCCCAGGGGATCCGCTGAGGAGCACTCCAGACAGGTGTAAACCGTGGTGTGACAGGAAGAAAGCAAATCGCTGCTCAAGGAGATTTATTTTGTTTCTAGCAACACCCGCCGGGCCGCAGAGGTGTGGATGGACGAATACAAAAATTTCTACTACGCAGCAGTGCCTTCTGCCAGAAATGTTCCTTATGGAAAGTGAGTGACTCTGCGCTCTCTCGTGCTGCTTTACTTGGGATTCTGGGGAGGAGAGAGGGGAAGTGACCAGTTTGGACCTCCAAGAACCATTTTGTGACTAGACTAGAAAGCAACTGTCCAGGTGTCAAAGGGGAGGTGGGGCCTCTGCTCAAGGCCAGGCCTCCAGCCCTGTGTCGGGAGGTGCATGGGGGGTGGGCAGGGTCCCAGGGGCCTCCCTGAGCGTAGTCAGTCCACGCTCCACTGCCTGTCCAGCCCTGGTCTCCTCAGTGTATTTCTGAGCTTGATACAGAAAACCTGTCCCTTCCTGAAATGCGTCAGAGAATATCATTTCCGTCTTCTCTAGCATTCAGAGCCGACTGGAGCTTAGGAAGAAGCTGAGCTGCAAGCCTTTCAAATGGTACCTTGAGAATGTCTATCCAGAATTAAGGTAAGACCCTGAGCTCCAGGGAGTCGACTTCTGGAAGGGCTTAGCAGTAACAGGTGGCAGAAGTGACGTGTGTGGCCTCAAGAGGTGAAGCAAAGGCTCACTGCACTTGGGGCAGGAGGCCAGGAGCTGGGGCTCCCTGTGAGAGCTGTGCGTCCCTGCCCCCCCAGCTGTGCTCCCCAAGAACCTGCTTCCTGAATTGTTCTGCCCTGTCTCTCCTGCTGAGTTTCCTCCCATTCTTCAAGGAGCTAGGTGGACCGGGAAACCGCCCGGGTCGGCTGGTGCTGTGTGTTGCCTGTTGCAGGACAGGCCTCTGTTCTCCCGAGGACTCTGCCTAACTGGTTGTGTCAGGGCCAGAGGAGCAGTTCTTGGCCTCCCGGGTGTGTGCCTGGGCCTGCCCTGCTGGTTGCCTGCACTGGCCTCTCAGGGCCTCCCCCTGCTCTCTCCAGTGGGCTTCAGAGCAGGGGCCGGCACTGGCCCAGCAGAGACCGAAGATTAAGTCGGCTCCATCACTTCCCGCTTGGCTTGTGCTCGAAGGGTGCAGCTGCTGGCAGAGTGGGGCACCCAGCAGAGCTGGGGGGGCAGCACTCTGCCCAGTGCCGCCTCCTGCATCTGGTTTGTTCCACACAAAGGACAGGAATAAGAACACTGGCACCTGCTTTCTTTCCTCTGCCAGGAGGGCGATGGCAGAAATACCCTCCCGAGTCGCTACTCTGCACCCAGACTTTCGTTTTAGATTGACGTGCGCTCCTCCTCTGCTCCCCTCCTCTGAGGTCCTTAGTCCAGATACCCCCAGGGCTTCTGCAGCGAGTCACGTATCAGGCGCAGTGGCTGTGTCAGGGTCACTGCCGTGCCTTTGTGCTAACAGCACCACAGAGCCTTGCTACAGAGACTTGCGGGAGGTTGTGCATGCGGGTCAGCCTGGCTATAGCTGTCTGCTCTATCCCTTTGGCACTGTGTCCGCTTTAAAGCAACTTAGTACCCCCTGTGCCACCCTGCCATCTGCCCAGACAGACCCCTTCCACCGGCCCCTCTTGATGGACAGCCCTGCTGGGGTAGAGAGCCCGTCACCAGTGGAAGCCCCTGGCATCCTCTTGCCTCTGACAGTGGGGGCTTCTGGCAGTGGACGGGAGCCTGTTATGACACCCCACTGCTCTGTCTCGCTGTGATGGTGGTGGACAAGGGACAACATGAGACAGAGTAGCAGGTTCATGCTGAGGTCACCTGAGTTTTGGGGTGGCATCAGACCCTGAACCCACAGGGTCATATCCCATCAGCACCACACCAGCAGCACCCCCATCCATGCCAGCCCTGGAGATACCAGCTCAGTGTTTTCCACCAAGAACAATTTCTGCCGTTTACTGGGCCCTTCCCGTGAGCTAGGCACTGTGCTAAATGCACCGATGAAACGTAACACTGCAGATCTGTTTCATAGGTACCGTGCAGAATAGGTGTGCAGGGTTATGGAGAATCTGGGAGACCCCACCATGCAGGCAGGCACAGGGCTCAGATCTGGATCTGACCCTCAAGCACGGGGCTTCCGCCCGCTGTGCCCCGGGACTTTGTCCATGGCCGCTGACACCCACGTAGTTTCCCCACTGTTTGTAAGTTCAGGACAATAGGACCTGACCCCATGAACTGCTTGCAGTGTAGACATTTTTCCTTCCTGGAAAATTCCCCTCATTCAAAATAGGAAGAATACTTCTCTAGCTTCATTCTCAGCCAGAGTCAGCGACCCAGAGCAGAGACGCTGTCTCGCCGATAGTCCAGCCCGTGTGTGAGGGCACCAGGCCCCTTGGGGCCCTTTCTCTCCTGCGCCTTCTGCTTGATGTGAAATCACTTACCACAGGGGTGCAGGTGCGCGTGGTGGCTAGACTTGAGCAGGTGATTCTCATGTTGCTTTCCAGGGTCCCCGATCACCAGGACATAGCTTTTGGGGCCTTGCAGCAGGGAACCAACTGTCTCGACACTTTGGGACATTTCGCTGATGGTGTTGTTGGAGTCTACGAATGTCACAATGCTGGGGGTAACCAGGTAGGTGCATGGGGTGACCCTGAGGCCCCGCAGGCCAGAGGGACCAGGGCGAGCAGCTGGGTCCTGAGGTCCCGCTGCCCTCTCTCTCCTGTGTCAGAGATGACAGTGAGGCTGTTCCGGGAACCTGTCATGGCCTCGGGCCAGGCTCTACTCATGGCAGAGGGCACCCAGGCTAAGCCGGCCTCCAGTGTCCATTGTCAGGTCATGGCTGCAGGCCGGCCCGCAGCCTGGGTCTTGTCCTTCTCGTGGTCTAGTAGCTGCCACCCACTGCCCAGGGGTGGGGGTGCTCACCCCAAAGTGCCAGCTCTGTCCGTGGCTGCCTCTTGCCCCCAGATGAGCTTGTAAACACTGGCCGCCCCCCCCCCCCACGGGTGCCTCAGTGCCAAGACTGCGGCCTCTGCTCCTCATTGTTGTTCCTGCCGATTAGAATAATGATAGCTGAGCTATAAAATATTAGCAATTACTGGCTTTGGCGTGACAAACACAAACCTTCCCTAGAGGTGTGAAAGCCCACTGCGTTCTGTCTTCAATTGAAAAGAGAGAGATAAATGAAGGTTTGATAGGCTTAATGGTGGCCTGTGCATTCCAGAAGGACAGTGTTCCAGAAGGCGGTACTCCCGTGAGCTAATAATAGCGATTTGGGCAAATGTGGGCTTTGTACACAAGAAAGACTGGGCACTGCTGTGTACTCTGCTCTCTTTGAAAGGATGCCTGGCTCTCAGAGGGTCTGCAGTTAAAAAAAAAAAAAAGATTATTTAGCTGTTTTTCCAGATGTATTGATTGCAGAATGTTCTTTAAATGGAACTATTTTTCAAAGAGGGTGCCTGCTTTCAGGCAAATTCGGAGGTTCCTATACTGCTGAGGAGTGCTCAGGCAGACTGCGGTGCCCCAGGGCGTCTCCCCTCCTCTCTGGGCGCCGAGGCCACTGGCACGGCCGCCACTAGACAGTGAGGGGCAAGAGAGAAAGGGTCTCCCACCCGCGTGGCTCGCAGCCACAGGCCTGCCCGGCCCCGCCAGCCCACACCTGTCGCTCCCCGATCTCAGTCCTTGGCCTCGACTCCTGGGATGCTGCCGGGGACCTGCTTCATGCTGAGGGTGACTCGCAGACAGCTTCATTTGTGGGTTTTGAATATTTTAACCTGTGACTCACGGATCCACAAGTGGTAGGCATGGCCTGCACAGAGCATCTCAGAAAGTGGAAAGAAGTGCGGTTAGAGGAAGGAAGAGCAGGGGGAGCAGAGCCAAACAGTGCTTGTGGGATCAGGGAAGGAGAGAGGGGCCCTCCCACGCCTGCCCTGTCTTCTCGGCTGCAGGACTGTGCGTGCAGACTGCACGGCCCTGCCCCTTCCCTGCCACCATGCCTCTTCTCGCAGCGGGGCTTTGCTTTGCTTTCCAGCGCATATTGGCTCCATGCCTGCTGTGCCTGGCACTGTGCCAGGCCTGTGGGGGTCACCAACCTGGGCAGTGGCTCCCTGCTTGCTCTCAGCACTTCCCCAGGCTGCACCTGGAATAGCCCCAAGAGCTTTTAGAAGCACTGACGCTGGTCCCCGATTTTACTGGTCTGGGGCCAGAGCACCAGGAGCTCCCCTTGCACCACTGAGCGGTGAGGATGTGCGTCCGGGAGGGCATGGCGGGCAGCAGCCCCAGCACCTGGGTCACCTTCCTGGGTCCCCAGAGCCCCCGCCGGCCGTGTTCCCATCAGCTCTGTCCAGCACTACTTATGTCAGTGAGAATGTTCTAGTATGGAGGTATCGGGGGGCGCAGTGCTGGGGGGACCGGCAGCCAGAGCTCGTGCTCACACCCACAGCCGAACCCCGATCCGGGCTGGTGGACAGTGGCACTGTTGTGAGTCGTGTGCCACAGGGCTGGAAACCGAGAGGGTGGGTGACATGTCGTCGCTAAAACCAGGGCCCTGGGCTGTGGAAGTGTTGGTGAGCTGGGATCTGGTGCTGAGCCTCAGCAGACACAGAGGAAATGGCAAAACTAGCAGCCGGTGCTTTGTAAGAGCGGCAGCTCCTAAAAGCATTTCTGAAATATTTATGAACTTTCTTATCAATTCAGATCATTGAGATGCAACAGAAGAACAAAGTAGCAAATAGCTCGGTTGTTTGCATAGCTGAATTCGTTGTTCTGGAATTCAGCATAAAGTCTGCTATAAAATCATTAAGCACACGATAGCAAGAAGTTGTAGAAACATCAGAGTGGGCTTCACTCACTCTCGGCAAACTTGCGAGCACCTCCTTCCAAGAACACTCTGGAGCCCTTCACCCAGCGCTGTCCACCCGTCTCCTCTGACCTCCAGGGGGTGCTTTGTGGTGGCCGAGGCACAAGGCGTGGCGGTGTGGGGTCCTCAGTGAGTGAGAGGCGCCTGGGCACGCTCCTTCTGGGGTCTGGGCACCTCGAATGCCATTCTAACCTGGGGTGATGGAGGGTGGCTGCTGGTGCTTTGGGGGCACTTCTGTGGAGTGGCCATGGCCGGAACAGCAGCAAGCAGACTGTCGTCCCCAGGGTGCTCTGTGGCGCTCAGTGCCAGAGCCGCCGTCCGGGCAGATGGGGACAGGCGGCCTGCGCCGAGCTGGGCAGCAGTACAGAAAGCAGACTAGGCAGCTTCCTCCCCTCCAGGGCGCTCCCAGTCTGTTGCCGACTGTTTGTGGATTTGCCGGAGAGAAACATGGCCCACGGTGTCAGCCAGATCTCCTTTGACCTGGAGCCAACTTTTCATAGAATTCCTCAGAGTACCCTTCGAGAAACACTAGTCAAAAAGTGGGAACCTGGCCACCCCGGAAGATGAGGGGTCACCCGGGTCTCGCTCCACGTCGGGGGAAGCGAAGCCTGCAGACAGCCTGCGGGGCGGGGGGTGCCAGCCCCTGGCAGGGCGGCGGTAGCAGCAGGGTGATCGAGGCACTCAGTAGTGAGGCATCCTGAAAACGTGACTTATTCCTTTCCTCCTGACCCCCGAGAGCAGAGAAGAGAAAAGCGATTTCTCCGTAATTTCACTAGTTGTGCCCAAAGTCACGTAATGCAGTTATTCCTGTTAGCCCTTCGCTCCCCCGGGGAGAGGGCTCCCTGGGGCAGGCCTTGCCCGTCTGTCCCCTGCACCGGGCCCACCCCTGTGGGAGCATCAAGCCCTTCACAGAGGTGCAGTGGACACTCATGGTGGGTGTGGGAGCAGGTTCGCCAGGCTTATGCAGAAAGGGGCCCAGAACTTGAGGGTGTTAGTGCCCTCTGCTGCCAGCTCCGGAGGGCTGGCGTGGCTGGTCCTTCTGGCTCAGTGTTCTCGTCTCTAACATGGACACCACTGTACCTCCCGTCTGCTGTTGTGTAAAGGGCCTGAAGTAGCGCTCGGCATATAAGGCTCCAGGGGCGTCAGCTGTGTGCTGTAAGTAGAGATGCCTTCCTCACACCCACGGAACTGTAGATGCCTCCGTGGGGCAGCGAAGCGCTCAGTTACGGGCTTTGCTTTGCTTCAGTAGCCACGTGGCAGTCCACGTGCGTGAATGCTTTGCCGTGCTCTCTGGCAATGGCAGAGTCATTCCAGAAGAAGGTGGGGGCAAAGTTGACCCTGAACTCTGCACCTCTTGGGCAGACACACCTGAGCCGCGGTGATCACAGCTCACACCCAGTTACACATTTGCATTTGGAGCCAGACCCAGTAAGTGTCAGTTACTTGGGCCCCTGCAGCACTTGTGACTGTCACTTACTTGGTCAACATAGTGCTCCGTTGTGAGTCCCCCTCGGCACCCAGTCCTAGATTTACTCACAGGCACAACGTCCGTGGTTCTGATGTGGTTGGGGTCCTGGGTCCCGGCCGGCGGTGTGACCCATTTCCCTTTGGGGCCCTTACTTAGCCACTGCGGTGACTCCGTGTCTGCTCTTGTGTTCCAGGAATGGGCCTTGACGAAGGAGAAGTCAGTGAAGCACATGGACCTGTGCCTGACCGTGGTGGAGCGGACGCCCGGCTCGCTGATAAAGCTGCAGGGCTGCCGAGAGAATGACAGCAGACAGGTATGGCCCTGGCCCCAGCGCGCAGGGCCCCGGCCCAGGCCGGCCTGTGCTCCGGTTGGTCAGCAACCTGTGGGCCTCACTCTGCCACGGACAGGGAGCGGGGATTGGATGTTATGTTGTTCAGCTTCCAAAAGGTCTGTAAACACCCGCTCTGAGCAGGACACTGGGGTGGGGGCTGCCGGCCGTTTCCTCCTTCCCGTGGGTGCCAGGTAAGCAGGCTGCAGTGGCCCTTTCTGGAAGTGTATTGATAGGAGCCATATGTCCAGATCCTGGATGTGGGTGCTTGTAATATTGAAATGCTTGGTGATGTCACCCGAGCAGGGATACGGGAACTGGGGCACATGCGTCTTTACTGGACAGTGAGGTTGGAACCCCGTCACTCCGGACGGCACAGATTCAGGCCCAGCAGAGGAAGGGCCACAGCAAGCCGAAGGCCCAAGGCCCACAGCTCCTTGTAGAACTGAAAGCCAAGGGCAGGTCACTACTTGTCTCAGCCTGGGAAGACGCCAGCCTGAATGAGTACAAGATCTGATTTAAAACTTTATTTAAAAAAACAAGTGTTCGGTTGGGGGCTGGGTGTCTTCTTTGCAGGGCTCTGCTCACTTTCACAGTCCCCAAGTGCCGTCGTGCTGAGGATCTCATCTTAGCGTGAGAGTGGCTGAGAAGCAGGAGGGAGCCTTTCCCTGGGCCCAGGTCACCTGCAAGCCAGGCCTGGCATAAGCCTGGGATTAACCAGTTCTTGCTCAAGCTCCCTCAGCATTTACCCAGGACATACGGGCACAGGAATGTCTGTGGAGATGCATAGGAGAGATAAAGTAACAGCTTCATCTGTCTCTAAAGCTTTTTAAAAAACAAGTAGCGTCTGAACTTCAAGAACCATCACTTACTTACACCCCTTAAAGACTCACATCATGAGATGGAAAACTGGCCAGCAGTAGGCTTTTCTAGATGGCTGGTGTGCATTAGTGAGGATCTGTTCTTTGTTAACCCCAAACTTAGCCCACGGGAGAGAGGTGTGGAGTCACCCCTTGTCTCAGAAGTCTGCCCCCTGCACCATAGCCCTCACAGGCCAGTGGGAGGAAGCTGGCTAAGTCGCTTCCAGAGACTGAGGAGGGGGCTTTATTTTCCGCCAGGCCCTCCGTTGAGCTGATGCTTCGATACATGACAAGCAGAGCCCCTCTGGAGAATGGAATCGGATTCCATTCATTCCACATTCTTTGTCAAGCTGGTTCCTGGCCACTCGAGTGACACTTGGATGCTGGCAGCCATATACACACTTTACATGACAATGGAGGGAGACAGCATGAAGAATGACTGACAGGCAAGAGAGAGCCAGAAATGAAGAGGAGATGATGGGCAGGTAGCGATGGCCTCCCGGCTCCTCTGATTGCACTGAATTTTGTTGGCAAAAGCTCCCGTTAGCAGGCCAGAGTAAATAAGTCTCACAAGGTCCTTAGGAGAACACCCTCTCTGCGATCCTGCCTAGAAGGATTGGCGCCCGGGAGCAATATATGCCTCTGCTGCTTCTGCCTCCTTCCCCCCCTCATTCATCTGCCCTATGAGAAAAGGCTCCTTGGTTAATTTTATCTTAAAACTGGAAGAAATATTTGGTTTCCGGGCACGTCTGCGTGGCTGTGTTGTGTGCGCATTTGCAGAGTCAAAGGGGAAAGGAGGCAGGAGTAAGAAAATTTAATTCCACAGTGTCAAAAGGATTTGCAGAAATACTTACGTAAAGGAGCTTTAGTGCACACAGTGTAAAAAATTAATTAGAATCACAGACTCCATTAATGAAGGGAGAGCTTTGGGGAGAAAAAATGTGTTAAGTAACTTTTTTTAAGAATAAAGATTTTTACATAGGGATAAACAACAGGACGATGAGAGGTTCTCTGATTTCTTTCAGGCTGGATTTTGGACATTTTTTGGCTTAGTTGGTTAGTTGAAGTTAGTTGGTTGCTGGGTTGATTCGTGCTTGAATTTGGTTGGTTGGTTGAGTTTGGCTGGTTGGTTGGTTGAGTTTGGTTGTCGGTTGAGTTTGGTTGGCTGGTTGAGTTGGCTGGTTGGTCGGTTGAGTTTGGGTGCCTGGTTGAGTTGGCTGGTTGGTTGGTTGAGTTTGGTTGGTCGGTTGAGTTTGGTTGGTCGGTTGAGTTGGCGGGTTGGTGAGTTTCAGAGGGGGCACACGTATGCACACGTTAGTAGGAATGTACTTTGCAAGTGCCATGTTTAAACCTCCACAGATAATACATGTTGCCTCATGGGTGACTGAGACAGGTTTCTTACACCTACCAAGGAGCCAACAAGAAGGCACAATACAGAAATAAGCCTCTCAACAGGATGTTCTGTCCATACAAGCGTATCTTTCCCTCCATTCTGACCTGACCGTTCCTCTGGTTCAGCTGAGCACAAGACCTGCATAGTAGTGTGGAGATGCCCACACCACAGCCTTGGAGCAGGGCTGCCCTCCAGGGTTCAGCTTCCTGTGACTCCTTTCTTGGGGTAAATTATCATTATAGGAGGCTGTCTTTACAGGAAGTCCCCTACCCCCTTTGTCACTGAGGGGAGATAATTGCTCAGGACACTCAGCCTTGTCCGAGTAGACACCCAAAGGGATCTGGGAATGTGATGGTGTCTTTCCTATAGGGCACAGAAATAAGTTTAAGATGCAAATCAAGACAGAATATGGGTTTCTTTCCTGGGCCATCACGCATTTATGGCTGATTTGTCTTGGGACTGTTGTCTCCGAGACCAGAAAAAACTTTAATTTATTTGTGCATACAGAACTGGGGTACAGGCCAGAGTTGCAGGGGCAGTGAGAGGCTTCACCAGTGATAGAGTGGTGGGGAGCAGAACAGGCAGATCGACGAAAATCACTGCTGAGGGGAGCAGCGGGCGGGTCAGGGGAGGTCTGCCGCGCCATGTGGGTCACCTCCCTGTCCGGAGATTGAACTCATGCTGAAGTGGCTTTAGCTCATAGTGCTGTGCTTTAACCCGCTGCGCCACTAGGGAGGGCCCAAAAAGGTTTGTTTTTAATGCTGCAAAGACCCGGGAACGGGCTGTGTTGTATTCATGTTTGTGCTCATTCCACTATGTCTTGCAGAAATGGGAGCAGATCGAGGGCAACTCCAAGCTGCGGCACGTGGGCAGCAACCTTTGCCTGGACAGCCGCACGGCCAAGGCGGGAGGCCTGAGCGTGGAGGTCTGCGGCCCCGCCCTGTCCCAGCAGTGGAAGTTCTCGCTGAACCTGCAGCAGTAGGAGAGCCAGGAGCCCAGGCGTCCTTCTCCCGCACCATCCGACTGAGTTTGATGATCACGTTCTTGATTATGTTTCTTAAACTTTCCGTGAAACTATATACCTCAGTATTCCATCATGGTCTGAAAGTCGGAGAACTTCACGAGGCATGGGGGGCCGGGTGGACCCCGCGGAGACAAGACAAGAGACTGCTCCTCCTCTCATGGGACGCAGCCGGCAGCCCCCTCAGAGGCCACGACGCCCGCTTCCTTCCCAGCTTCCACTGAGCAGCACCCCCAGCAACAGCATCGAAAGGGAGAGAGGGACCCCAGGAGGCCTGCGGGGGGAGGGAGGGAGGGAGGCCCGGGCATGGCCGCCGTCTCACAGTGAGGAGAACTCTTTCCAGATCTCCATTTTTGATCCCATGGAAATCACGTGTGGTTTCCGCAGAATCGAATCATGTCACTTTGTCCGCAGGTTTACGTGTGTCCCCTCCCCACCTCTGTCCCCAACTGTCTTCCTCGCACAGACCCCCTCTTCCACATGATGTACTAGCTATATTTGAATATGAACTTTTCTATGGTGGGACACTAAATATAAATATATATATAAAGGAAGAATGTACGGTCAGTTCCCTATGGTTTCTGTAGGTCACCCTCATCTTGTAAATTCCCGCAAAGCAGCTGGCAGCCGAGCAGGGAGTGGACGCTTCCGGGTCAGGCTCTCCCAGGGGGCGGACATGGCCTCCTCTGCCCGCTGGAGCCTCATCTGTGAGTAGGTGCTACTGGGGCCAGCCGGGGTCTCGACAAGCTGGGGCTGGCCTTGCCCGGAACCCCCGGCTGCCACCCTCAGGCCTGGGCTTCTGCTCGGCGTCAGCGTGGGGAGTCACTGCTACGTGTTGGAAATACACTGTCTGTGCCCTCGGTGTCTGCCCACCTGGCTGGGCTCCTTGTTTGGAAATATGTTGCTTTGGGTCTTTTTAAATTCAGTTTCTTTTCTCTAAAGAAAACCAATCCCACAGCTCCCATGAGAGTAGGAAACCACTGGGCGCCTGGGGGCCGGCAGGGCAGACCCTGGGCCCTGGACCCTGGCCTGCCCTCCCAGGCCCAGGTGTCGGTCTCAGGGTCAAGATAGGAAGGCTGGAAACCCACAGCATCTGGTCATTGCGGATTCCGGGCAAGAATCGGGAGCCGTGTGGCTCAGGATGCAGGTGTCACTAGCAGCCGTGAGGCAGTTAAAAGCTAAATAGAGTAACAGGAGGAGACACCTGGATGTCCATGGACATCCCTGCAGAGCGGTGCCTCGGTCTTTCTTGCGGTCACTGCCCCCCTTTCTGCACTCCTCCCTCCCCCACCCCCAGCACACAGAGCCTCAATCTCAGTGAGAGGCCCTGTGCTGCATCAAATGCACATCTCCAGCCCTTTGGGAGGGCTGAGGTCACAGAGTGACATGGCCTCAGAAGATCTCGGGTGGACACTGCTGAGTGCTGCCTGCTCCTCTAGGGGCAAGGAGCTGCCCAGCTCACCCATGTGGCCTCCATGGCAGTGGGCTCCAGTCTGTGGTGTGGCTGGTGACAGGCCCGTCCTCGCCCTTCCTGCCCCTTGCCCAGGAATCAGGTGCATTTTCAGTGGACAGAAAGGCCACAGCCAGAGGGACTCTGCACGCTTCTGTCTTAGGGGCTGGTCTTGAGGACAAGTAGATTCCAGGGAGAGCTTTCGGCCCCTGTGCAAGGCCGTCATCACCGGGGTGGGCCTGGTCACGTGCAGGCACCCTCGGCCTGAGCGGGGGTCCCCTTGTCAGCCCCTGTCATGTGCTGCTGTTGGAAAGAAAACAGTCCGGGGATACAAGCAAATTTGGCGTTGATGTAACACAAATTTTAACCTGGTTTTTGACGCACTCTTCGCCCACTCACCTCCACCCGGCTGGGAGTCTCACCGACCTTTGTATGGTTGGGACAGGGCACCCACTTCTTGGGAGGCGACACCGTCCCCGAGCTGAGCGGGCAGTGGGCAGTGTGGGCCGGGGGAGCGGCGGCCCCCTCCAGGCGAGCTATGTTTACATGACACGGTGTGCCAAAGTGACTTGCTGTGGTTGCGTTGTTTTTTAGTCATCGGGACGATCCCATCCTCCTGCTCCCGTTTTTACAAGATGCTTTCCTAAGAGCCCTTTGAGCAAAGCGTGGCGAAGTGAGCTGTCTTCTCTGTGGTGGTCTTTTCTTATGTCTTTATCATAAAAGCTACAATGACAGTCTCTGTGAGTATGTTTTGCAAATTCAAAATAGAGTTTGGTAATTTTTTTTCCAGTTGATTTTTAAAAAGAACTGCTGTACAGAGCTTGTACTTTGTCCATTTTATAGATGGAAACCATCCTTGAAAATTGTTTAACTTAAATAAAGAGAAGATACTTTATAGATAAAGCTCTTGGTGGCGGCTGTTGTCATTCCTGGCCCAGTCAGGATGGATGTGCCCGGCGTTTGGGGATGGTGATCGCGTGCTCCAGCTTGGGGCCCGTTCCATCACGGTCTCTTATCACTCTTTTAAAACGCATTCACCTTTTACTGTTGTGCCCTTCGGGGGTTTGTTCTTATTTGTAATAATAATTGTTATCGTTTCGTGGAGTGTTTATGACATGCCAGGCACTGAGCCAAGCCCTTAAATACATTCTCATTGTCTCTTCCCAGTGGCCTGTGCGGTAACATTATAGGCTGCATTTTACAGCTGGCCGGGAAGCTGCTGCTTGAAGCCTAATCCCGTTCAAGGTCAGGGGATGTCTTGTTCAAGGTCACCGCACTAGAAGGACTCACCTGGAGCTGGCCCTGAGCTACAGACCAGTGTGAGAAGAGGGGAAGGGGACAGACTTACAGGCCTCCAAAGTATTTACAATCTAGATGCTTGTTTGCCAGTGTCTGGGGCTCCCCAGTTCCCGCAGAGGCTGCTATGGGGTGCCTCCCCCTCCTCCTCGGCCTCTGGAAATCCCCATCTCTGAACAAACTGCAGGTGTGTCGTAGAAACACACCTGGATTTGCTTAGCAGTCTGGACTACAGAGGAGGAATGGCCAATACCTTGAACCTTCTGGAAGCCACATTTGTGCCTCCTCTTTCTCCATTAGTTGAGACAACCAAAAACTTGCCCTTCTTGCCACCTCTGGTTCAAAAAAAAAAAGCTGTTAGCACAATTTTTCAGCGCTCTTGGGGAGCATCTTCGTGGTATTCTTGCTTTGACGACAGGGAGAAGCATCCTCATTCTACAAGTATCTACTGAGACACTGTTGTCTTGACACCTCAAATGGGGAAGAAACACATTAAGGTCAAGAAAACACTGCGGACGAGTCACGTGTGCTGCCCACTCAGCACGGGGCCTACAGAGATGTGGTTGGGTTGTTGGGGGGTCAGGCAAGATCCTGAAGGCTCAAGCCGAGTCTGCAGAACGGGGTATGAGCGCTTCACTGGAGCAGATGGATCGGATGTTGCAAAATTTTTCAGAATAAAATGTTTCACACAACACTCTTTGATTTAAAAAACATTGTCAAAAATAAGCAAGATCTCTGTGCACACTCTTTCATTCAAGGACTGACTGAGAGGGGGGAAAGAAAATTCTGTTCCCAGATGCCCTTACATATTCTGAGCAGTTTATTGGTTGCATACTGTATAGGTGTTTGATTTTATGTTTACCTGCAGATGATACATATCAAGTGTTTCCAAAAGACTTGGTGTTTGTAGGGTCCCAAAGGGGCAGTAAGAGATGCTCACTCAGCAGCTCTTTCCTGAGTATCGCCCAGCCCTGGGTGCTGATGGGAGATAGAAGGATGTTACAGAGGAGACCTTGGCTGCACTCGCGAGGAGTCAGACTCTGAATGCACTTGTGAGAACAAAGATTGAGTCTAGAAGTTTCTGGCCCGCTGAAGGGAATGTGAAGGGCCCATAGGGTCGCCATCCAAGGACCAAGGCCACCTGCCAGTGGCCTGTGCAGGCCCAACGATGGACCTCCAGAAATTAACTGTCCATGTTGCTCTTGGAGAGATTTCTCTTTGGAGCATTTTCAGTTGTCCAACAAAATACAGTTTAAATTAGAAGACATTTACTGTCTCGTATTGTTACAGGGCAACCCCAATATGAAATGTGTGGCCTGCTAATGGGTCCTCACTCACGTGCCTAAAAGGGACTTATAATAAGACTCAACTGTAGGCAAACAAAATGGTTAATAAAGGGTTTATTTGAAAAAGAAGGGGGAATGAAGAATATCTCAGAGAGAAGGAGATAAATTGGTCAATGTGTCCTACCAGTTCTGCTGAGTTGACCTTTATCACCAGAAATGGTGCCCAAAAGGGAAAGGGGGGAATTGTTAAGGGGAGAGGGTGTCCTGAAGAACATGCAGGTTTTATGGGTGCCACCCCCACCCCAGACCAAAGAGACCCTAGCCACTGAGAACTACAAATCCCATAATATCCTCACTGAAGGGCGGATGCCGGGCCCTGAGGGTGGAGTTGGGCAGCCATTTCCCCTTCTCTGGGGAATGAACCCTTCATTAGCCTTCTGTGTGTGCCTGCAGTCCAGTCGTCTTATAATTCCCTTTTAAGCACTCGGTGAGGGCCCACTCTCCAGCCACCCAGTTCATTTGAGGGGTTGCCCTGTAACCATATATCAGGGAATCCAAACGTGACTGAATTCCAGGTCTTTCTCGAGGTTTGATGCTGTGAGTAAATTGCTTTCTGCCCATTAAGGGGCATGAAGACACCCAGACAATGAAGTTTCCTTCTTTCCCTCCATCTTCCTTCCACCCTCCCTCCCTCCTTCCCTCAAACCTCCCTCCCTCCCTCCCTTTCTCCCTTCCTTTTCTCCTCCTCCTTCCTTCCAGGTCTCCCTGTTCCTTGTTCCTTCTGTCCTCAGTTGTGCACATGAGTTCTGGCTAAGAGGAAGGGGTGGGGGTGGGGGGCTACTCTTTGGGCTGCCAGGACAGCTACCGCCTTTGTCACCCCTGGATGAATTCTGGCAGCCGTGGGCAGCAGGCAGGGCCACACTGTGTCCTGAGAGTCGAGGTCTCCAAGGACTTCTTGCTGCCTGGCCTCAGTCCCCTAGTGTCTTGTGGCCACGTGGAGGCTTCTCTGAAAGTGTTTTCAAGTGAGTGACACACATGGCATGGGATTACAAAGACAACTAATTATATGAGATATAGTTATCAAAATATTTGTGTAATATATGAGTCTTATGTGTTATTAACAGGGCCTCATTACTAATAGCTATCATAATTTCAAAGTAGTGATGAGCATAAACAGTATTTTGAAAAGTGCAATAATTAATGGGATGTGATCTGTGATTTTTTTTTTTTTCTTGATGACAAAGTTCCCAGTTGAATGGCTACATTTAGTCAGAGGTTTATGGCACTGAAGAAGTGACCTTTTTTCCCTTTCTGGACCCCTTCAATGTTAAGAATCTCACGATAGAGATGGCACCTGTGATCTGGAGACTTTAAGCTTTGGTGGTTTTGTCTTGCAGGAGATGTGTGAGACTGAGCAAAGCAGAGGTGAGGCAGCAGGGACGGTGCTGACGTGGACCCCGAACCAGACCTTCAGCTGCATTTCTCTAGTGGGAAGAAAGCCACCTTGAGGATGCACCTGTGTGACCCAGTGGCCAGAAACTCATAGAAGCCACCCTATTTGCATGAGTGTGCCTGCGCACGAACAGCTGGCAGGTGGTCTGAGCAGGCAGCGGGCTGACCCTCAAGGGGCTGGAGGGGGAGCTGGCTATCTTCAGGGCCTGCCCCCCACTGGACTATGACACAGACTAAGGGACCTACATTTTGCTAAGCAACTTCTCTCCATATTGGAGCCACGTGGAAAATAAAATGGACAGCAGATGGCCCAGGGAACAGAATAAAGATCCGTACAGGGCTTTCTAACGGTGCCTGTGGCAGAAGGAGAAGGTTCTTGATGGCTACAGGCTTGGCCTGTAGGGAAACCTGCATCTTCGAGTCCACTAGGAAAGGCCTGTGGCTCCATGGCACACTTTATCATGGGCTCCAGGCAGCCTCAGAGACAGGGCTGTGGGAAGGAAGAGCATGATGGGGAGGCACTCTCCTTGGGGGTAGGGTGTGCAAATTAGTTAAACACCACAGCTGCGTGACACACAGACCCGAAGTTCAGAGTTCCGGAGCAAGGTTTGAGAGGAAGTGGGGGTGGAAGTGGGCCCTGGGATTACCCCCAAAGCAAGGGGTGTGACTTGCCAGGGCCTGGCAAGTTGCTTCAAGTCACCACGCATCTTTGCAACCTGCAGAGACTTTCTTACCCCCATTTCACTCTGGGGAAACTGAGGCCTGCGCATGTTGGCTGGCTCAGTGCTGAGTAAAATACCCATGCCCGACCACCCTCTTACTGGCCCGGCGGAGGTCAGGGCAGGGGCAGGAGACTAGCACTGCGTGGAGGCCAGGGCAGAGGCCGGAAGGCAGGCCCTGGGGCATGCACGGGACAGCTGGAGGACCCAGTGCCCCCAGGAGCTGAAGCCCAGTGGAGGGAGGGGCCGGGGCGGCTCAGGGGGCTTAGTGGAGTGGGGAGCTCGGCCGGCCTCGGGTCAGTGGACTGGCTGTGCCGCAGAGGGGCTCTCTGTGCCTGTGTCACTTAATGCTGGGCTCCGTGAGTGGGGTTCTTGGTCCATCTGAGACAGATTTCGGCAGTTTTGCATTCAGGGGTGTTTCATAAACCATAGCTATTGGGGGGGGGGAACATTTGCATAGACAAACAGACAAGGGGCGTATTTTCAAAGCATAGTTTTATTAGGAAAACAGGCATTTGCATAGACATAGACACAACTCTTAGAGGGCAAAAGCTGCATTTTGCCACAGCGACGAAAAAAAAACAGGTCTGTTACAGTGTTCTGGGGTGGGGGTGGGGGTTCTTCTTTGGCAGAGCTTAACTACTGTGGAATCTGCCACGCCCGGACCTGGCTGTGCTCCCCTGTGAGGCCTGGCGATGTCTATACTGCGGGCAGTTCTCCCTGCCCCGCCTACTCCACATCGGGCTCGCTGCTTATTAATTTCCTCTCTCCCACCTCTGGTTCCCGGCCTTGTACCGCTTGCTTCCATCATTAGGAACGTCATTCACCCCGGTCTGTGCAAGGGGACAGTCTCCCCCTCGGTGCTGAGCGTGGGCATGGAGGTGAGGGCCGCAGCCCTTCCTGGCCCGGGGCGTGGCTGCTGGCACAGGGGGGCCCCGCAGATCGCAGGGAACTGAGCATGGAGATTTGGGTTCGAGACCCTGAATCTGTGTCCATGTTCAGTGGAAAATGTTACTGGCGGGTGAGGGAAGTAGGAGCAGGGTGGGGTCTCCAGCAAGCTCATGTCCTGTAAGGGCCTCGGAGGCCCCAGAGGGAAGGAGCAGCAGCAGGAGGGTGCAGGTGCTTG